CAATGAATCGAGCAGTGAATTGTTCTGAGGGTCCTGCAACTCTGAGAATTCATGTTGCATGATATGTTTTTCCTGTTTTTGTTCATGTTCATGCAAAACAGTTCCCACCCGGTGACAATGGAAGCTTGATGTGAACGAGCTTGGCCCCATGGCTGATTCCCAGATCCTCGTTGCTCCTGACAGGCAAATTCCCTGGACATGTCGCAAAAAGTGCCAAGCACCTGAGCACCGATGCGTCGTTTGCGGAATGTTGGCTTCCATCCTAGTTGAATCGTCCTGCCTTGCTTGGCCAATAAGAGATAATAAGAGTAATTCATAGAACAAACCTTGAAAGGCTTTAGAAAGATCATGACAAATCCGACGCCTTGTTCTTTGTGTGTTGGTGCCAGAGCCAGTTTCAATCCCAGTCTTGCGTGGGGCAGTCGAAGACCGCAGGTGTCCGGAGTTTGCTTGACAAATACTGACGAATTGACAGGCACCTCTCCCGAACGGTCTTTCCATGGTTTGCCGCTTGGTTTCCTCAACTTGCGCGGTTCAATTTACAAAGGGGGGTGGAACATAGCACAAGCCTACAGCACCTAAAGCTTAGCTTGGCTGAAACATGGGGCTTAAGCTCAAATGGTTTTGACATGTTTTGAATGCTTTCTCCATGATCCCCGTGACAGTGGCTCAAGTTCTTTTCAACTACTCCAAGATGAGTCCATGCCATACAACTCACCACTGAGGAGAATGGAGTTGTTTGAAAGGCGAGATGTATACATGTTTGCAGTTGCATGGCGTTTTTTGTTTGTATGTTTTTGTTTCTTGAGGTAGTGTAGTGCATCCCATGTTCCTCTACCATTACTGATGTTGGTAATACTGATACTGTAATTGTATAAGTTGACCATGCAGCTTCTCGAAGGGCGTTAGTGCCTTGAGAGATCTACAGAAGCTACAGCAGCTACAGACAAGAAATCGTACTGACAACATCACCTCCCAGTGCCGCCCAGCTGAACCCCCTCCGGTCGCCATGTCGGAGTGGATCCGGGGCTATGCTGGGACGGCGGGACCGGGGTGCCAACCGGTTTGCCATGCTTTGAATGCCAACAATCGCCCCCGTCCCTTGAGAAACTTTCTCCTAGCAAGCGGGTGCTGTACGCATTGGTCATGTATTGGTACATGTTGATCACGTTTGTTTTTTTTAAATAACGTATATATATATATATGTCTTTTACTCCCCAAGACCCCAGCCAATCCACCCAAAGCGTATGCTCTTGAACTATCCACAGCAGCGCGTTGCACTGACTGTCATTAAACAAGATCAACGCTTTCGTGAGACAGCCATCATGCTCCTTACTAGACATCAAGAGGCCCTATATGGGAGGTTGCACTTTTTCTCAGACATGTTCAACATATGCATTCTCAGCTGGTGTCCATTTGCGCATTTGCAGGTATATAATTGCTATCACTGTACATAATACAACAAAAGGAAGTGTCAGGTTTGTTTGTTTTTGCTGAACGATTCCGGACATTGCCAAACCCCTGCAGCGCTCGCGGCGCAACGCCCAGGGCTACCGGCTTCTTCCTCAAGATAGCACCACGGTGAACATCGATGAACCACCAAGGCCAAGGGACCAGAGCTATCCTTGCGTGTCACGAATCCTAAAGACACATTAACTGAGGTAAGCATCAGGTTGTTTTGGAGATTTGGAGATTCCTGGGATGTTCAACTGCCCATGCTGATGCTTTGTGGAAAAAAGCTAGGGGACCCACGTTGAATGGAACGTCCTCAGGGACGTCCGACCTTTTGTTCGGCTCACGGGGTGCCCAACTCCGGCCACGGCCTCAGGGTGGAGGAAGTGCCAAAGACTGATGAGAGGAGTGCCACCCGGGACGGCCACGGACAGGTGCTTTTTGGTCCGCTGGACCTGAGGAAGGGTTGCATAAGAGCAAAAGGAACCTAAGCGCGCCTCCAAGCTACTTGCAATATCTTGCAATGGCCTCCAAGCTACTTGTATTTATATGTATTTGTGGGGATTGTCAGTAAAGAACATGAACTTGCTTGATTTGCTGGGGAGGGAGTTCCACCAATTGACCGTGTCCTAAAAGCCATTGTTTGGCAACTTTAGAACGGAGATCCTTGAGAAAGATAAAGACGGTTGCAACTGAGGGTTCTGGGGGCTTTCACTGTCCCCAGTGGATCCAGCTACTTGATGTTTCTATGTTTTCCAGCTTTGTGAGATGGAGCAGACCAGCGGTCAACAGCTTTTTGATGATAAGAATGACGTAATTTGCAATCAAGTCATGGATTGGGTCTGTCCCATTACCTGTAACAGCCGGAAAACAATATTATACAGTAGACTATATAATATATATATATATACAATGATATATCACTATCACTATACAAGAGAGAGGCCTTTACTAGCCATGATCATCCATTGTTACTGGTAATGGGATATACTCTATACCCAATACACGGAGCATGTTTAGCCAAGTTTCTAGAATAGCACTGCAACTGGCTTGCCCTCACAGGACTTCCGACATCGAGATGGCTGGCATGACGACTGTCCCGGTGGGTGATCAAGATGCTCGGCCGAAACTACCACTTTCTACTAACCACATAAGCATTGCAGACAAAATGGGATATGTTTGTGATGTCAGGTGGGTGTTTTTTTTTTTTTTTTCTGAGCTATATATATTAATATGTTTGAGGATGTTTGAGGAATTGTTTTTGCCTCAGAAGATTGACTTTGTTTTCCTTCATTCCTTCAGAACACTAAAGGAGGTTTGCTGTTCTATACTATATTGTTCTATTGATTTCGATGTATGATCTTGAACAACTTTCACCACATTTCACCTAGTGTTTGCCTCGTTTGGACCTGCTGAGGACATCCTGCAATTCATGTCTCGCATCTTCTACTCAGAAGAGGGCAGCACCACGGCATCCGGTGTTGAAACACCGGGGAGTATTCGGGTGTACTCTTTTTGAAAAGTAAGTGGCCCTGGAATATTGAGTTGAGCCATCTACTGGGCCTTCCTGACAACCGGCGTTGCGCCATCTACTCCATCAGACCTTCCTAGGGATGTAGATGAACATTGTTCGTGTCAGATGATTTTCTGCCACGGATGCCGTGCCACCACTCGTCCACTCGTCCGCCCAGGAAATAGCCGGGTCAGCGTGAAGATCATCCGCATAGGCCAAACAGACTGTTGAACCATGTGGCTTCTATGGGACTATGGGTCCCAATGTCTGAATATATTGAATATATAGTCTTCTCATGTCATGTTATGTCCAAAAGGTCATTTGACAACAACTTGTTTCTCGAGTATAGGGTGTTTTGGCATAGGTATCCCAAAAAAAAAAAGAGCATCAAAAAAAAACAAAACAGGATCAAACAATTAAAATAAAAAGCGAATCAACAAAAAATATTCCTTGATAGGCCTCTTCTGCTGCTCTCCTGGCCTTGTGGTCTGCGGGTCCTCTGGTAATGTGGTCCCTTGGTCCTTTGGTCCCTTGGTCCACTGGTCCTTTGGTCCCCTGGTCCCTTGGTCCTTTAGTCCACTGGTCCCCTAGTCCTCCGGTCTCCTGGTCCTCTGGTCCTGTGGTCCGCTGGTCCCCTGGTATCCTAGTCCTTCTGTCTCCTGGTCCGCTGGTCTTTTGCTCTCCTACGGCGCTCGTCTGTCGATCTCCTGGTCCCCTGCTTGCGCAATTAGAGGCTTGATTGCTTTCTACTAGACGCAGCTCCCTGGGAAGAAAGTAGGTACCCAACGATAAGGTTGCCGTCCAGTCATTGAGTAGCCCTACTCGAAAAGTGGTTCACCAGTGGAAATAGCTCCCTACTAGGAGGGAGCTCCTGGGGAGGTACACTCTCCTCTACTACCCCAACCATCCTCAGTGGGCTAGAATGTTTTTTTGCTTACCTTCTTATTTGTTTATTGATCCCCGTTGAATATTTTTTGATTCTATTTTTATTTCTATTTTGATCCCTTACCCGGGTGTTTTCGCTTAGGCAGGCAGCGTGGAAACAAGTAACGACTACAGTAAGTCAAACATAAGGAGGATATTAAACATGTAAACAAAACATTGCGATGGATTCTTCAAGCAAGCTCCCGCCCTCAGGGTTGCTTGAATAACCTAAGCCCTAGTCCATGTACAGACCAGGTGTTCACATTTAGCTAGGGACCATACTTGCGCAAGACCAGGCCTTTTGACAATTGCAACACCTTGCGCCAGGTTCTCTTTCGGATGCTTGCTCTGTTTCTTGCCGCACGCAGGACTCTGCTTGCGTGACAATGAGCATCAGTGTCGTAAATTAATGCCAACTCCAGTGCCTGCAAGCCACAGCAATCTAGTCCGAGACGGTGACGTTAGTTTGACATGTTTATAGCACCGCACAGCTAGTCTGCAATGACTCAGTTTGTAACAAACCTCCGTGGGGTTTGCAAAGAGTTGGCCAGTCATTGTGTGAAACCCGGTTGAAATGCTGGCCTAACCTTTCTCAACATGCACCAGAAAAAAAGTATCGCATCATGTCATCATAAGCTTTTCCTGGTGTATTTTCTGCATATTTTTGGCATCGGAATGAAGCAGGCGCCCGGTTCAGAACAGACGAAGAGGCCAGAAAACAGAAGTGGCTCAAGGTCTGGCAACCACCCTGCCCAACGCTTAATCAGTACGTTGGGCCCATTTAAGAAGGCTCTCCAGCTCTCCACGTCCAGATGTTACAGTCAAAGCATGTCAAAGCTAGGTCTGCAGGTCAGTAGGTTGTTGATGGTTGTTGTTCTGAAATTTTGAGACGTGTGTCATGCACGTTTGTATCATACCCAGAGCCCGTGACCCAGAGCCCGTGTCAAAGAATTGCAGGGACAGGAGAGGCCCTCAACATGCCCCGAGGTCTTTGGGTCATGGTCTCAGATGCAGTTTTCACCAACAGCCTTTGCACCTCATCGCAACTCAGCAACACCGCACACACACCGACCCAAAGCAAACATTGAGACCTCACTTTGTGCCATGATCGATGATCGTGGCGCCATGGGATGCGTCTTCACCCGATGCACTGCTGCAAGTACTGCGAGGGGCAGAAGCAGCTCAGCGAAGCAAGTGACGGGTGTGCAAACGATTCCAAGAGAAGGAACGAAGCTGAAGAACAGTATGTTCGACGGCCAAGAAAAATCATGCGTTTTTCTGCACCGTTTGGTATTTGCAAAACCGGGTGTTCTCAGAACGACCATCGCAGTTCGACAACGAAGGGAGTTGGCTGTTGGTTTTGTGACTCGAGGAGTCATCCAACTGATCCGATCGGTCCATTCCGAATCCATTGTGTAGACTACCTATCAGGTGGGCCCTCCCGTTTCATGTTCACATATGTTCACATATGTTCACCATTCAATTACGCGAAGTGGGAACATTTAACTCATAGGGCAAGAAAACAGTCAAATAACATGCTTGGTTTAAAGTATTTTAAATCATGTACACATTGCATGTGTTTAATATACTCAAATTGTACATTGACATGGATTCAGCCAATTACTTAAACCAAAGATAATTCAGAACTTCAAGTTTAAATCCAAGTAGCTGAGCAATAGTTCTATTTTTTTTGCAAATTCAATAGCAATTTGTTTCTTCTCACTACCTATCAGCTAGATTCATCTAGTAAAGGTAATTTGATTATACATATGCTATTGGCATTTATTTCAACTATTTATATAGATGGTAGCTCATTGAGTTGCAAAGGACACCACTGGAAGAATGTTTTAACGTATTTTTTGTTCTTGTTCTTTTGTGGTATTTAACAACTGAGGGGCCGCCACAATAATATAGAATAACATATATAATAGCCAGCAACGAATCCACGACAAATCCATCCACGAGTGAGAAACTTCAAGCCGTGCGAATCCTCAGCTTCCGACCTGCGACTCGGACTTGGGTACGAGGTCACCCGGCATCAGAACAAGCTGATCCTCCGCAATGCCTTTGATTGGAGGCCGGAAACATCACAGGATCTTCATGGATCTTCCAACATCGTCTGGAAAGACAAACAAAGTAATGCAAGTATTAATTTATGTCCCATCAAAAATTGTCTCAAAAACAGCACCAGTATGAGGCCATCGTGGAGACCACCGCTCTTAGGTTGGAGGCCATCCCTATTGGGCTTGAGGCCATCGTTCTTAGGTTGGAGGCCATCGCTCTTTGGTTGGATGCCATCTCTTTTAGGTTGGAAGCCATCGCTCTTAGGTTGGAGGCCATCGCTAGTAGGTTTTAAGCAATCGCTCTGAGGCTGGAGGCCATCACTAGTAGGTTGCAGAAACGCAACTTCAGTGAACCCCACTTAACATTCAAAGGACTGGTGGTTTGCTCCACAGAGCTGTTGGTAGCACGTTTTGCGACAAATTGCGTTGCTGCAATATGTTTTAAGCTGTCATATATGTTTGGTTTTTATGTTTAATGTCGCCCAACACCTTGGGAGAGGAGGTCGTTGAACCTCTTGGAGAAGATAGATCCCTTCAAGAACCACCTATTTTTGCACCGTTTGAGTTTAAAGATGCGAAACCTGGCGAAACCTCCATTGACCGGTTCGCCCAGCCATATCCTCACCTGAAGGGCGTTTCTTTCAACTGTTTCCGAAAAACCACCGCCTCTCACCACGCGGTGCTCCGCATCCGGCGGAAGATCCGGGGGGTCGGCGACAGGCAACTCTTGGAACTGGCGGAGAAGCTCAACGAGGAGTCGCATGCGCTGAACGTTTGCACCATCCTCCACCGCCTCGCCAAAGGCCGGGAGATGGCACTGAGGTGGATGCTGGGAATTCTACAAGTACAATGTACTATAATCCATTGAAGATACAGTTATATCAGTTCAATCAAAGTAATTACTAGCTTCAATTGATGTTTAAAGGTCAATTTTGTCAACACACAAAGTGGAAGAGATGTTTCTTTGGCACCACCGATGGCATGTGCTTATTCCATGGCTGCCGAGCTTTCTGTCCTTTCAGACTACGGTAGAGCGCCGACCCCAACCCAAGGCAGCCAGGTAGAGCGGGACGTCCGGCAGAAGGATGATGTACTGAGCCAGTGTGGAAGAAAGCTTTATTCAAAAGTTTGAACGAAGGTAAGGGACCTTATTCAAGGATATTCAAGGGGCGTTGCCCTTTTTTGTTCCTCCCTCCCTCCCTCCCTCCCTCTCTCTCTCTCCTTTCCTGAGCGGAGAAAAGCGATGATGGCTTGTTTCATTTCGGAAATCGACAAATGATCAGAAAGGCTTCCTCCCAGCGGAGCATTGGTTCACCCAGTGGTCTCTTGGTTATCGCGCCAGGGGTGGCACGTGAGGGGCCTCGAGGTATGTCAGATCGTGCCCGGTCTTTGCGCGACTTGGTCGCGACATGATGGGGCGCGGTGGCTGGAGGTGGCTGGGCTGGGCTGAAGGCATTTTGTTGAGGTACCGTATGTTGAAGCATGTGTTTCTTTCCTGGGGAAAGTGATTGCGTGATTGCTTTACTGTATATATTATTGCATCTCCTTCCCGCTTTGTACTTTGACCTTTGTCTATGGGAGTATGTGTTGTCGGGGCATTGGAAACCTTGCATTTCTAGACAGTGACAAATGCTATCTCAAAGGCTGAGTCACATGTTTTTTTTTCTGCATCGTCCCATCAAGTTGGAGCTGAAGACGTCACGTGCCCAGGCAGCACTTTTGCCTGGCAAAGACTCACTTTTTTGGTGGAGAAATTGGTGGCTGATCTGAGTCTCGTCTTCAAAAGGTCGGCCGAACGTTGGTGGCCTTGGTGGCCATGGTGAACTGGATGGTGGACACAGAGAGGGCAATGGAGAGATAGGCAGAGAGAGAGGGAGACATTGTCTATGTTCTGCAAAGAGTTTGAGTTTTTGAAGGATTCTTGTGTCAAGATATGGCCTGACATCCAGCAGCTTCAAGTAGTTTGCGACAAGTCTTGCAAGTAACCAAGGCTTGCACAGCAGCCCGAGCTCAGAGTGAGTTTAGCCAACTGCTATCATTCTACACCAAATGAATCATGTTGGCATGACGCCAGGAACAACATGGAATTGACAAATTGCCTTTGGGCTTTAGCAGTGCTGGAAGCCAATGGCCCTCAAGAAGAAGCTCTTTTGAATTCTTTGATCGCACCTGGGCTTTGGAACAGGACTTTTCTCGGGCCCAAGAAGCGCCAAGAAGCACCCACGTGCCTGGAAGGCCAACCTTCTGGTGCCTGGAGCAATTTCCCAAGGTCCTGGAATTCTGGTGCATCCCCCTCAATGTAGAAGATGTGGGCACGTGTGTTCTTTTCGACCTTACCGGAGGGAAATGCTGAATGCGCCAGTGCGATGATTTGGTCTAGAAAGTCGACTTCTGCACCCCCAGATCCTCAGGCTGCTTGCTCCCAGTATCTCTCCAGTTTCGAGCCACGGAACCTGGCACTCTCTGCCTGGGCTTTGGCCAAGATGGGCTTGGAGCCTTGGTGGATGTATTGGCCAAGGGTAGAACACCCTCGCAGCTTGGGATGGATTCGGGATGAGGGAGATTTGCTTCATTGCTTTGGCTTCAGGAGTTTCAGACAGTCGTAAGTTGATAGGCTCCCGTGAAGAGGATTATGATGTATTATGATTGCCGAGGGCCGGAAGGAGTCCAGCAGCAGTACAGTATAGGACTCACCAGAAGGTTTAGATACTCATGAGCGCGACAGGAGTTCTTTTTTTTGCTCAGTATCCTTGAAGCATCGGCTTCCGGCGGCGCCAGCCGACGTTTTCGACGAGCCTGCTTCTCTCGGCTCACCGGTGGGGCGTTTCTCCTCGCCTTTTCGAGGAGAAGCAATGGTGCCCACGATGGGCGGAGGCCGTGGCAGTGAAGCTCCAAAGCTTTGAGACTCGAGACATGACCAATGCCCCTGGGAGACCGACACGGCTTGCGCGAGACGGGAGAGCGAGCGGTCTGGAGCGAGTGATACTGTATGGGATATGATGTGAGATGTTCATGATGATCAGTCAGTCAGTTGGTTAGTCAGTCAGTTGGTTAGTTAGGTAGCATAAATATGTTTGTTTGTTTGATGGTCATGTTAAACATGATTGTTTGACAGTCATGTTTCCAAGGATTGTGTTGGCCTCGTATTTTTTTGGAAAGACCAAGGGCTTTAACGGGCTTTATGTTGATATATGTTGATCATGGAAGGGCAAGTATTCTGTATCAGCCCACGCTTGGGGCTGAACAGGACAATTAAGTGTATACTTCTTGATGCCTTGAATAGGCATGCATCGTATTGCACTGTAAGGAAGGATGTAGAAAGCACAGCCACTGTCGAGCATACTTAGCCCTAGCTGTTTCTCATACACTGTAGGTTGAATCGAGTGTGCGACATTGTCAACCCTTCCAGCTGCCACTTCTTTGCTTGCTCTTTAGGTCATATGGGCATTTGCCACAGTATACTGGCGTGATGAACGATTCTTGATGCGCTTTTGCAAGGCAAGTCTGTGCGCTCTGCACTGTTTGTGCGCTATCCAGCACAGCACAGCAGCATAAATAGCAGCACAAACAGCACTGGTTCAGGGGTGTGCAAGCAAGACCTTTCGCAGATGAGTGGATATTCAATCGTGTACTAGACTATTTACAAATTTACGTGTCTATAATTATAATATATTTTTTATATAATCTACAAATTTTGACAACAAAGACAGTGCCCTCTTCCCTGTCGACCCACCTCAGATGAATATCTATGTTTTTCATGATTGCATTATATTGCATCAAGGTTTGATATATCCCAGATGTACCCTTCATGGCAGGGCTTGTCACATTCAGATCTTCTGTCGCACATCTCATACGCACCGCACGACTCTTCTGTGTGTGGATGCCCATTCTCCCGTACGCTTGGCCCGGCATAGGAGGTGGAAGTGAAAGCAGAGCACTACTCTCCCCAGGACGGCCCGATCGGACGACCTGACGACCCCGGAGGACCGACCCCGTTCGGGGAGGATCGGCGTCGTTGACAGCGGACTGAAGGGAGGTACCGAGCGTGGACCGAGCGTTTTTGGACTGAACATGTTCTGACAGAAGTCCCAAAAAGGTGGAGAAGACCCAAATCAAAGTTGCTGTACATTGGACTTGTCAGTCCTCGATTTCTGCAAAGCTACTCCACAAAGATGTTGGAGCACCTTGTGATGTGGGTCTATTGGACGAGGGACTATGTTCATGAGAGGAACTACTTGGAACATTGTCAAGTAGTTTGCACCACCTAATAGCAGTCCAACACACGCAAACTAGACTCTAGACAGCATAGAAAGAGAACGACTACACCAGCCTACACCCTATCATAGACCAGTCAGCACGGTGCAACCAAAAGGCTTCAGACCGGTCAGCACGGTGCTGGAGGATGTGGGCAACACCCTGTGGGCCTTAGCGACGCTCTCTTGGAAGAACGACCTGGCCTTAACAGCCATCTCCAAGCGATGCTTTGACACCGCAGTCCACTTTGATCAACAGAAGCTCCAAGCGAGAAGTCCAGCCAGTTGTTGTTGGTTTGTTTAACTGTATATGTAGAATGTATCAATATCATTTTTCAGTCCTAATTGTTTTATGTCCGCCTATATAATTAAGTAGGCGGCTACTTAAATTAAGTAAGGAGGTAAGCTACTAGCAATAAGTAGCAACTGCCTACTGGACGCAGCATAGCTCACACTTCTTCAAGGAAGCTCCCCTGCCTGAAGACGGGGAGAGCTTCCTTGAAGAAGCGCTCGCAGTATTCATTTGGTTCCTAGGTGTTCCTAGATACGTTGAAGATACAAGGTCCTAGCATAGGCCCACGCGGAGTTTTGAAGTCTGGAATGTGGATGCTTCCTGATATTGAACCTGGGAAGGACCAAAAACCCGACACTTGCCAACAGTTGCTCAGGATTTGTCATGTTCGCCAGTTCACGGCTGTAGAAAAAGACACACCCAGAGTAGTACCCAGAGTAAGTGCTTTCGAAAGAATCAACTCAAGTTATTGTTTAGTTCATCTCATCCGGCGTAATTTGTCCACAGCCAAGGAATCTCTCCATTTCACTCTGGAGCTATGCCACCCTTGGCTACAAGACAATGCCACTTGTACCTGTCATTGAAGCATTTTGAAGCTGCATTTTGGTGTACCATGGTGTACCTAGTTCTCATTTTTTTGGCTTTGTCAGGGGGTCGCAGTTTTTCATGAGATTCTAAGTGAGCAGCCCAAAGAGTCTTGATAGGTCCATCGAGTACGCCTCAGTTTGACAATTCTTCCATCCCTTGGCAGGAATCTGTTTCATCACATGACGCAAATCATCACCGAGCGCATCAAGAGCTTCGCTGCACAAGGTATTGCTAACGTGTGCTGGGCCCTTGCCAAATTCCAATTCCAACAGAATCCCGGCCGGAGTGAGCGGGATGTGCCATGAAATGGTTCTTTTATGTTTTTTTAGATCAAGTTGCGCCAGTATTGCTGATTTGTTGGTATTGAGCAGATGTTGGGTTGTTTGCTACTAGCACATTATTCATATACAGTTTTGGAAACTATGCGGCGGCACGAGTATGATGGGACATCAGCCCTGCAGATCCAGCGCTAATGTTCACCCCACAAGGTAGTCACTGAATGGTATGCAACAAACTGTGTCACATATTGGCAATATGTATGTGTTTGTTTTGGCAATTGTGAACGGGAAGTGTATATACTTGGGTCTTGGCAAATTGGACATGAACGCAGCATTTTGAATGAGGAAAGCAGCATGCAATGCAATAAAATTTGGACACATAACAGACCATAACAGGTGCAGAAGAACAATGATAGATTAATCGAACCAATCAAATTAGCCTTCCTTCGGAGGGCTTCATCATACTAGTATAATAGTATGTTTTGTGATGTTAGGTGTGAGATCATGGCGCTGATGAAACCGCTTGTACTCCTGGCTTGGTTCTTCAAAACTCTATGGTTTGTCGAATGTCCTGCCTGTTTGATGTGGCTGGACAGCAGGCTCAACTTGCATGATGATGAGTTGGAATGATGTTGCATCAAAAACTACATCCCCACCGTGGCTCAGGAAGTGCTTGCTGATGACGATTGCAGAAGAGGCTCCGACGCGGCTCGATGACTTTGACCCGCAGCACATGTCGATTCTGGCATGGGCATATGCCACCCTTGAGACGCTCGCACCGATGTAGGAACGAGGGACGGACCGTTGAGTGAACTGCAGTACTTCAAAAGCAAAACAGGCAAAGTCTTCATTCCCGAAAGGAGGGGTATACAGTGTTTGAATAGTGTTGACAGTCGTTGGGATATGTTTGCCGCTCGTCTTAGATGTTGGAAGCAAACCAAGCCACCTCAAGCTTGTTTGCTTCTGTCCGTGGCATTCGCGTCATGGCTGTGGCATTCGCGTCATGTGTGAACATGCCGGTTTTGGGACGTTGAGGTCGCCTTTTGGGCGAACGTTCCCCGTTCCGGCGGACCCGCAGAGGTCGTTTTAGCTTTGGAGACTGAGGGGGAGGAATCAGAGAGAGAGAGAGAGAGAGAGCGCGAGCCTAATAGCGATGGCCTCCAACATCCTCCAACCTAATAGAGAATATAGACAGAGAGAGAGAGAGAAAGAAAGAGAGATATTTAAAGAAGGAACACAACACAAATTGGAGAGGTTTTTGCCCCCTTGGGGACCTGCCACGCTGAGGTTCCCAAACAGACCGTTGCTGACCGCATTGTGCCAGGCTGCCGTACGGAAGATGCCAGGTGTTTTTTGCTTCAACAGGCTTTGATTATTTCTATCAACATCTTCTTTCCTTTTGGATGAAGGTCATTAGATCATCATATTAAGAACAATTGAGGTGTCATCATTGTGTTGTTGATTTAGTGATTGAATTATTTGTCCGTGACTCCCAAGTTCAGTACCATATCATACCATAAATAGTTTTAAAAACAAACTTCAAATACATCATAAAGCACGGCCTCCCCATCATCCCGATGCAGGCCTTTTGAGGGTTTCTAAAGTTTCTAAAGGTTTGGGGGGGGTTCATTGGACCGCAACCTTCTGAAGCAGATAAGAACCAGCGAACCAGCCCAACCTGAGGCCCATGTTCAATGCACAGCACATGGCAAACATGACCTGGGCCATGGCCACCCTTGCCCACAAGGCAGGGTCCGGGTGAAATTGGGACACGAACAGTCCAGGTCACGAATCGCAACACCCAGAGCTGGAGCTAGTTTCTTCTTATCTTGGAGTTGCCCAAGTCATTAACATGTGGATCCTTGGAGCATGGCGCCAAACTGGTACCAGGATGAGCGGTACTTGCACGTTCTGGCGGAAAGGGCAATGGAAGAGGCATGGGGCCTGTGGGGCGTTCGTTGCGCAAGACAAGTCCTAAAACATCCTGAATCCCTGAGATGTCCACCCATACGGCATACATTCTGGAACCTTTACGCCAAGTTAGCTAAGTTGTGAGAATGTATGTAATTATTGACTCTTTTGCTGGAAGACTTTGCCTGCATGTGTGGGATTTTGATGGATTTTGTGTAAAACAGCAATGAAACGTGAAGAGGTGTGAGTTCTGAGTTGGCTGTTGAGGTGGCACGCTTCAATCCTCAAGAGTGCTCCAACTTGGTTTGGGCCTTCGCTTTGCTGACCTTCCGCGACGACGCCTTGCTTCAGGCGGCCGGTCGGCCGATCGTAGCAAATGTCTAGTCCATACTCACCGGTATGAAGCAGCTGTTCGGTCTGGCAAATCTAAGATGATCTACACTCTGACTCGCTAGCATGGAAGTGGAAAACCACTCGTTTATAGAGGAAAGTAGTCTTCCAAGGGACATCCACGTAACCATGTGATGTGTTCGTCCGAGTGTAGCGATTTGACAGACCGAAGGAGCGGCCAGGTCGAGCAGGATCAAGTCCGAGAGGCTCAGACTGTTGGCACACCAACACTCTCAAGAGACCTTACAGGGGTCAAATGCGAATCTTTGAGATCAGCGGGACGTTTTGCTCCAATCCTTTTGTCAAGAAGCTATTTTTTTTGCAAGGGATCCCAGTGTCCTGGATTCTTGAGAAATCCTAGTTTAAGACTATAAGTCGCTAGTCAGATCTTGCCAGTATATATACTGAGATTGTTGCATGCAAATATACTGACAACACTTCTAAACAGTATAAACACTGACAACACTTCTGACAACACTTCTATACATACTGAGATTGTTCCATGTATACAAATATACGATCATGGACCATAGACACTGACAACGTGGGAGAGACCCTCTTGGGATCCAAACACCTCTTCTTTTCCGTCGCCGCACGAGGCCCTGAGCCGTCGCTCACAGGAGATCGTGGCGGCTCCTCGGTGGAGTGCCGAACGGCGGGCTTCGCAAATCCCACCGGTGCCGGTGGCGTTTGGTTGCGACGCCACCAACGCCGTATGAGCTGGGGAGCTTTAAGACGATATATATATATATTAGATCTAATTAGTTATACAATGTCACGCATATATAATTTGATGATAATTGATGCACGACCAAGACAACGACCTGTAGCACCAGTGAAGGGTCACTCGATAAAAGGGTGGTTCTGGAAATGCTCCCCAGCTGAGAGTGACCGTCCAGATCTCGGTCATTTTTATTTCTCCAAATGTGTCCGCAGGTCAATTTCTTTTGTGGGAAGAAGCTACTAGGGGCTCCTGGCATCGCTACTAGGAGCATTCTTACTTACAAGAAGCTAGACTGGATGTCACGCCAGGTACTTCTCTCTGAATCAAGTGACGTCCATCTTCGCTCTAAGGACTTCATCCCGCAGAACTTGGGCAACACCGCGTGGGCCTACAATCGTTTGGGCTATCGTGACGAGCAGCTCATGCAGTGCCCCTTGGGATAGGTGAGAGACGGCATTGCGGCAATTTGGATTTCTTTGTTTGTCAGGGTGGATTGTTGTTCGGCGCTTGGAATGCCGCGGTTTCCCAGTTGTTTTTGTTTGGTTTTGGCTTCAAGTCTGCAACTTGATGTTTGCAGCCCCAACTGGTTGGGTTACGGATCGCCCAGTTCCATGGGTTCTACGGTTTAGACCACACTGAAGCCATCGGCTTTGTTGCTAGGTTCGCTCGAGGGGGATTGAGCCATGAGCATTGTTCTGTCACTGGCCTTGATGCTCAGGGGATTCTTTTGCCCATTGCTCATCGCTTGAGGCTGTGGTTCACAACATTAGTCATCATTCCACAAAAAATGCACATACAGGCATACAGTGGCATACAGGTCTTTGGCAGCTTTGTTCCTGATGTGCTTTTGCCATACGAAAAGTCGTCCGCTGTTTGAGGCCTGGTGCGGGAGGCAGCAGGCCGCTTGCAGGATTGTGCGGGGCAGGAGGTCTTAGACCTCATCGAGTCCATCGTTACAGGTGACCTGGCAGAACTGTGGTGAAGGGTTTCCTGTTTTGGCTGGTTCAGCCTCTCAATAATATAGACAATCAGGACATATCAGGACAATGTTTTGCGTGTTCTCTATATATATATATATACTCCAAGTAATGTTTGGGATTCAACTTCAAGAAGTCTTCTTGGGTGGAGGACTGGGGTCTGGAGCGAGCGGCGGCACTCCGTCAAGAGTCAAGCTATTGCAACAATTCTTGAGCCTTACCCAGAGGAAAACGGAAGAGTAACCCAGAAACCTTCATAGAACTTTGTGGAAGGTCTTTTTGGTGCACTAAGTTCGTACAAGCAAATTTTACTGACCCCCTTTCTCCACACCCCCCATTTAACCTTATATGAAACCTGGTCAGTGTAAGATTGACATGTGACCTTACATATTTTACATTGCAAGAGGATTTCCTGGCTCGATAGGCGAAAGGTGGTCGTTTCAATCGTCCGCGGGGTCGAACATTCCTTGCATCGTCAGACTCTGTTGTTGCTGGATTGGGGAAACCATTTGATGGAGTGATCCGGTGTACCTTTCATCAATGCTTGTAGTAGTAGATGGCACAAATGTCTGAGAGGTGGTTATGATGGTGCTCCATTTATTTAAGGGACATCTTCGGGATTGATTGTTTGTTTTACAGTATTATAATGTAACTGCACAAGACCATTGTGTGCAATAGTGATGTGAAAGGTACCACAAGGGATGTGATTGTTGGCACCCCCACCCACCCACCCACCCACCGGACACCTCAGAGCGTGTGACCATTAACAGTATATAGAGCACCATTAAGATGAGCACGGCATGTGTGCTGCGCAAGACCACTGTGTGTTTGAGTGGTGTGAAAGGTAGCAAGAAGCACGTGATTTCATAAAGTCTAGGTTCCTGCTGAATCAAAAGGCGGCATGCCACAGATGACCCCTCTGCGGGGTGGCGAAGATGACTCTTCTATGCGTGACGGAGCTGATCCCCAATCCCTCGATAGGTCCCAATAGGTTGGATACCTACAAGCATAGTGGTGTGTAGATAGTAGGATGCATGTAGTCAAGTCTTTAAACATGTTTGCAGTGATTCATTTGTAACGTATCAGGTGGATATGAGGCCTCTGTGGAAGGCCCCGAGTGGCAGCGGCTGGCCTGCTGGGCTGGACAGAAGGTGGAGGCAGGGGAAGGGATAGAGGCGAAAGACTTGGGGGGGAAAGGTGGCCCAACACTGGCAGGAGAGAGTGCCATCCTTCACATTGGACATGGTTCTTTCCGATTAGCTTCCTCAAAGACCTCAAATCATTGTCAAAGCACATGGCTCAGCATGTGCACAACACACTATTCCGTCGGTTTTCTATTGTTTTCCTGCTTTGCCAAAGTCAGTCCAAAGCCACAAGCTAGCGTACGTCAATAAGGGCCCATGTTGACTGGTTGTCATTTCTACTTCCGCATGCGCCCAATCGCGCGCAAGTGTGCAACGTAGTGTATTCAATCCTCAATTCTTGTGTGGCAATATGCTGGTACGAATTCCTGCTCGCATTTCCCGTTCACCCCTTTATAGGTCTATAACTTCCACTCTCCCGACTCTCAGGCGGTGGCGCGCTGCGTGGTCAGCTCCAGCGAGATGCCGCTGACGCTCCGGAAGCTCCCAGACTTCGATCGGGCGCTCGCCGTGCAGGAGCGGAAGGCGGTCGCGCCGGGCGGATCGAACCCGCGGTGGCGCGATCATGGCGCCTGGCGTGCGGGAAAGGAGGAGGCCAAATGCCCCAAGAAGACGAACGCAGAACATGAAATGTACTTTAAAATAGGAAGAAACATGAAGAAACTGGGTAGCTGCTCAAAAAGGAAAGGAAAGAAAGGACGGCTCGGTGAAAAGTTAGTTGCATGTTTCTCGCCCGACAGGATCGGGGGTGGCTAGAGTTAGAGTGGTGACTAGATTTTAGAATGAATCAGCCACCCTATCGTGACCTTTCCTGCAGCGCATCACCCAGCGAAATGACAAACACAACAGTGCTCGGATCGCGCTTTCGGCTCCCTTGTCTTGCCTCCTTGGACGATTCCGCAGGACTACCAGGATCACTTGGCCAGCTTTAGCTTGGTCGGCCTGGGGTTCACCTATACGTACCTGGGCTTCTTGTTCAGTTGGTTGTTTTGTATGGCTCCACGTTTTGTGTCAGAGACGTGTGATGGCTTGTTCATCGCCTAAGATCCGAGCAGCCTTTGAACCTGTTTGTTGAGGTGCCAAATCTTGGAGCAGCTGGGCATTCGCCTCCTCAACGGCTCAGAGAAGGAGGCCTGGCAGAAGGTCGCCCAGGAAGCCTCGAACTCGATCAGCGGCACGGGCAATCAGCACCCTGGCTGGATTGTTGCCATCTAACCTGCCTCTTAGTGCACAATTGTGAAAAAGCTAGGAGATCGTTGAACGCCAGATATTTCTGTATTGGATGGCATTGAGTTTTTCACCGCTGTTTTTTTTGACTGCTCCACTTGGAAGGTCTGACGTCAGCAAAAATGTGGAGGCACAAGAAGGACTGAAGGCTGGAGACGAACGTTTGCGGACAGATGCCACTGCCGATCAAGCTTCATCGTTGACTCTGATTTTGGGGCGTTTGGGGCATGGGTGTATATGTCAAGCTAGACGGGCCGTCGAAGGCAAGAACATGATAGCCTGTCGAGACAGTTGCAGCAGTTCACTCACACAACCGTTTCTCCGGTCCATCGCCGGGATTTCCCGGTCACCCGGAGATGTCACAGTGTCAATGACAAAGTTCCGGAAAGGATTACATGCCACTTTAGCCTCCCAAAAGGAATGCCAAATCTACTAGTTTTGGGGACATCCCTGGCCTATGCAAACCTCAATGAAGAATGAGGCTCCAAAAAAGTGCATGTGTGTGTGTAAAATGTGTGTGTGTGTATTTGTGAGACATCACATTTGATCCCTCCCCACTTCGCCAGATTTGCCGCACGATTTGCGTCTACCGCTATGCCTTGCAGCTTGGACCGGAGACGGTGTGCGTGGGGCCCACGGCGGTGACCAGTGGTCCGGCGCGAGACGCCCACGAGCTGGGGCTTTTCGCAGCCACTTTGAGGCATCCGAGGCAGATCTGAGGGCGGAGGGATCTGAGAGGGGAACTGGCCTAGTATTGAATCTGGTGCGTCGGTCTTATGTTCCGAGCATCGTCCGTTTATAGTGCTTGTGATGCGTGGATCAAGAGCATTGGTCAACAACATCTCATTGTCGGCCAGCTTTGCAGGGGTGGGGACGGCGAGTTCCAAGCGCTCCAAGCATGTGCCCGAGCCTCCATGCAGCTGGGTTGTGAACCCACCGGCCTCTTGGCAAAGGGAGTTGAGATGGAGGCACTGCTGAAATCTACTCGCTACTTTGATGGGCTGTGTGTTTAGTAACTGGTTAACTTAGTTAACATAGTTACTTAATCATTTAATAAGCAATTAACAAAATTAGCTAAATGATTAGCTAAATGGTTAACTAAATGATTAACTAAATGATTAGCTAAATAGTTAACTAAATAAAACAGCGATTTTCTGGTCATAAAATCACAATAATCTGGCAAGTGAAACTGCAAACGCACTACAGGTGAAACACTGCATTGCACATGATTTCCTTGCCATATAGCAAGTGCCAGCATGCAACAACAAAACAATAGTGAAGCCATGAACAGGCTTGCATTGTTTCCATGAATTGGCAATGCTGATTGCATGAAAGGCCTGTGATGGCTGCATGAAAAAGCTTGTATATAATGGCTTGCATTGCGACCATGAGTTGGCAATGCTGATTGCATGAAAGGCCTGTAATGGCTGCGTGAAAACCTTGTAATGGCTGCATGGAAAGGTTGGGCTGGTCGCATGCATTGCAAGCATAGCTTGTAATGGTTGAAGGTTCCATGAATTGGCAATGCTGATTGCATGAAAAGCTTGTAGTGGCTGCATGAAAAGCCTGCAATGGTTGCAAGAAAGGCCTGTATTGGCTGCATGGAAAAGCTGGGCTGTTTGCATGACTTGCAGGACTGGGGTAGAGTCTGCACAACGCCAATATTGCTAATGGAAAACACAGCAAGTCTAAAGCATGCCTTTTTATCTCTATGGTAATGGAATCAGGGTGGTGGTCTTTGCGCCATTTTGAGCATAGAGGCAAGGTGTTAAAACCTTGCACAAGGAAATTGCAGCAGATTGGCCAGCAAAGCTTTGCCATACAGCGTACTCATTCCTTGCACCAATTTCCAAACATTCAAACAAAGATACCAAACACATGGGCTGCCCAGCATCTAAATGCAATTGAAGTTTTCCGCAGCCCACTTCCTGGTGCCATGTGCAATGTCCAGCAATACAACATCACCTTTGGAGCAAGTCACACCATGCTTCAGCCAGGCTACTTGGCTTGTAGTGACCAAACCAACATTGACAAGTGGCCATAAATGCTGCACTGTGCCAACCAGCTTGGAAGGCAGCTTGTGGGGCTTCTTGAGCTGGTACTCCAAGGCAGAAAAGGGGGTATCAAGGCTCAAGACATTGAGTTCTTTTGCAGTAACCTCTTCCATCACACTTTGTTCCAGCTGCCTTGTGTTGGCAATGGCGTTGCCAATTCTGGAAATGAACCGATGCTTCCTTTCCATAGCCCAGCATGCCACCATGATATTGTGATTCCTGAAAGCTTGGCCCAAATTCAAGAGCCAATGATGCTTTTGATAACTTTCCAGCCAATTTGTGTCCACAAAGCCAATGCCCTCTCTGCAGCATCTTGGATGGCTTCAGCAGTGATGGGCAAAGACCAAGTGGATTGCAGCAAATCCACCAAATGAGCCAGTATTTGGATACAATGGGCTTCCTGGACCATGCAGTCAATGCAAACCTTCTTCAAGAAGTGCACCAACATTGGAAGGACTGTGAGTAGCTCACTTGCAGTGCAACTGAATTTTTCAGCCTGCTTGTGTTTTTGCACTCTGCTCTCTGAAAACAAAGTTGTCACCTTGATGCCTGCATGCTGCCAATGGGATGGAATTGTCCACTGGCCAACATATTCACCAAATTGTTTCCAACATTGCATGCCTTCCAGCATATTGAAGACACCCAAAGAAAGAATCCCAATGCTCATCAAGCAGTGCATCCAGTCATGCTTGTATGGCTTACAAGGGTCCAGGTTTGGTCTCAAGGAGGTGTCTGCCAGCACTGCCTCCTCATTGTAAGTGATGCCAGTTGCCTGCTCCCACATTTTGAATTCTGCTTGTGAGCAATTTGACCTTCTCTTTGTCATCCTATCCCAAGAAGAAAAAACTTCTTGGGATTCTGTGAGCTCAAGCTGGCTGAATTTTGTGTATTTGCTCACTTCATTGACACCTTCTTCATCTTGCTCATGAGAAAAGACATTGGCACAGGCTACAAAATCGACTTCCAGCATCACCCTTTAAAGACCAGCAGTGCTTGTGGGCTGCTCCATCCTGCACTATGAACTGCAAGGTCATTTGTATATGCTTTCTTGCATGTTCAGCAGGGCACCCAGCAGGTCCTTGAAGCAGCAGACCTAAATCAACTGCATCCACCTTATCCCACTGGCAAAATCATGTTCAAAATGATTTTGAGAATCTGTGACATTGCCAACACTACTTATTTTTCCCACACTTCACTTGATCCAGCCACAGCGCTGCAAAAGAAGTCAATAAGGCCTGTATTGACAAAACAATGGCCTGTATTGGCAAACAAAACTTGTATAGGCCTGTATTGGCGAATCCGTAAATATGTAAATAGAATAAAGTACAAGTATGAAAAAAAAAATATGTTTTAAACAACTAATTATACTATAGTAAAAAGCTTTTTCATTCATAAAATATAAAGGAAACCAAAATAACGATTAGGTTTTTGATACCAAAACTAAGTTTCTATTGGATAAATCTTACCTTTAAATACTTAAATCAAATTTAAACATACAAGATTTGCTTTTAGAAACAAAAATATATTTGAATAATAACGCAAGATTTGATTTTAGTAGCGACAAAGCAATTCCTAAAAATCCAGGATTTGCTTTTAGAGGCTAAAAGCAAATCCTAA